CTGCTCGACGCGCGGGCCCACCGTGATCTTTTCACGACACTTTGGGTCGTCGTCCTTTGAAGCCCGACGCTGCGAACAAACACGAGACAACGATGGAATTCTCAACCCGAGCCCTGGACCCCGTCCTTCTGTGGCATCCCTCGGCCCAGGTCAACCTGCGATGGACCTGGAGCCCGAAGCCTGGCGCAAACGCCCGTTGATGAACAAAAATCAGCGCCCAAGGCGTCGTCGTCGTCGACGTCGACGTCGCAATCGCCGCCGCCACCGCCGCCGTCGTCGTTGTCGTCGCCGCCGCCGCCGTCGCCGCCGCCGCCGCCGCCGCCGTCGTCGCCGCCGCCGCCGCCGCCGCCGCCGTCGTCGTCTTCGTCGTCGTTGCCGTCGATGCAGCCTGCTCGGCGGCCAGCCGGGCGGCCCGCTGGGACTCGCTGGGCGCCGGCCCGGGCACGGCAAGCTCGGCCGCGGCCGGCTCGGCCACGGACTGCTCGGCAGCGGCTTGCTCGGCGGCGGGGGCCTTCGGGCCGCGCGCAGCAAGACAGCCACTGCGGCAACGACTACGACGACGACGACGATGACGACGAGGACAACGACGACGACGACGACAACAGCGCCAGCGGCGGCGGCGGGAGCGACGACGGCGACGACGACGACGGCGACGACGACGACGATGAAGACGACAACGACGACGATGACGACGACGGACCAGAAACGACGACGACGACGAACGATGACGCCGCGGAAAACGACGACGACGATGACGACGCGACAACGGCGGCGGCGACGACAACGACGCCGACGACGACGACAACGCCGCGGCGGCGGCTGCGGCAGCGACGACAAGGACGACGACGAGGACGACGGCGACGACGACGATAGCGCAGCGGCGGCGGCTGCGGCAACGACGACGACGACGACGATGACGGACGAACGACGACGACGACGACGACGACGACGACGACGTTCCACGTTCCACGCCGATGCGAGCGCTCGTCCGTTCGGGCGCTGGCCGCGAGCACCGAGAGGCAAGCCTCTCAACAGAAAGGAAAAGGCGGGTGCTCAGTGCAGCACCGCCCGCAAGGAAGAAACGAGCCCCAGATAGGGGCTCGTTGTACCATCCTGCCAGAGGCAGAGAGAACCCTCCGCGCCGTGCGCGGGGCCGGGGAGCAACTGTGCGAGGGTCACTAACGGCGCACCGCCGGGCAGTCCCCACTCGCACCGCGCCCCCCGCTGGGTAGACAAACCCACGAGCCCCAGATAGGGGCAAGCAAGCTGTGGGCTAACCACCAGGGTCAGCCCACCCTTGCTCGCCCCTATCGGGGCTCGCGCCCTGCACAGACACGGTCCAGGAACCACCGCTGGTCCTTGGACATGCGTCCCGCACAGGTCTTGAGCAGGGCGCGCCAGCTCGGCGCCTCGATCAGCGCGTGGGCCCCACAACGTTGACAGATCAGGTAGCGGCCAACAGCCGCAACCTGGTGCTGCAAGAAGTGGAAGACCGACGGCGGGGCGACAGCTCCACCCTGCTCTCCCTCGAAGCCGAGGGCCTGCCACGCTCGACGCACCGCCTCGCCTCGCGCCCTAGGGAGGACGCCCCCGAGGCGGTGGTGACGGACAGCAGCTAAAAACAAGTGCAGGTCAGTCGGCCTGCAGACCGCGCTAGGCTGCTCAAGCCTGGCTCGGCCTCCTGCCGACTTCGCGATACTGTGGCACCATGTGCACCGCACACCTCCCGACGGAATCGTTTCGAGGTCGTGGGCCATCAGGGCCAAAGGAGGGGCCGTGGAGTTTCTCGGCCTGGCAGGCGGCCTCGGTTCGGGGACCGAAGACGCGGCCACGAATTGGGCCGCCCGCGAAATAAAATCAAGATTCAGCTTGGCCTCGCTGAGGCCGACTCTGACTGCTTCGACAGCACTCTCGGCCGCTCGGATCTGAGCCGCACCCATCTTCGCGAAAAAGTCTGCCCACCCGTTCCCAAGGAGATCGGACTCACGCGAAACACCAGCCTCAGCAAACGACCACTCGCCCTCCAAAGTCTCGTCCAGATCTCCATGGGCGGGGGTCCAACGGAAGGAAGGTCGTTCCTTCGATCCTACGATTTTAAAAATTTTCCTCCAGATTGACGCGTGCTTGAACGCTCCCGTCGCCAGGGCAGGATCCCAGCTGTTGCCCTCGATCACTGCCGAGCGGTGGTCCGAGACCAGCTCAGCTCCAGGGGGGGCCACCTTCAAAGCTTCCAAGAGGGCTTGCCGTTCGGCTCGTGGCACCGTCTGGCACCGTCCCGCGAGGCCTCCATACAGGGCCCTGATCGGCCAACCTCGGGCCGACATCTCGACCACGGCCCAGCCGCAGCGGGCCATCTCGGGGACTCCGTTGGCGTGGCCCGAGCCGTCGGTGTAAACACGTTTTCCCCAAGGAAGGTGGGTGGCCCCCCAGGAAAAAACAGGCAGCACGCTCGGGACCGGCTCCAAAACCACAGGCTGAAACGGCAAACCGTAAACCAACTCAACCGAATCAAAGTCGGGGGGGATTCCTCGCGCCGAGTCCTTGAGCAGCTGCCGTCGCTTGAAACTTTCCTCTGGCAATGCGGGCCCTGCCTCTGGGGCGTCACCCTGGCGCCAGAGCTCTTCACATTCATACCAGTGATGGCCGAACGTGCCTATCTGCTGCTTGCAAAACTGACAGAGGTTCGAATCAGCTAGACCATGACTAAACTTCCGAGCTGGCGGCCAGAGCCCCCCTGCTAGCAAGGCCTTCAAGGTCGCGCGCCTCTTAGGTTCCCTCACGGAGTTGACCGCGACCCGCAGCGCACGACCCCAAACAATCTCCTCGCCAGAAGCTTCGGGGATGGCCGACACCAGCTGAATCATCTGTGCCCTATTGATACCCTCAATGAGCTGGCGTTTTAAATCCCAAGGCGAAACGTGGCAAAGCGACAAAACATCTCCCTGGTCGGTCCGAATATGGGTCGGTCCCACTAGGGCCCATCCCACACGCAAAAGGCTCAAAAAGACGGCTCCCACGGGCCCTCGAACGTCCCTCCAGAGCGGTCTGTTGGCTAGCCGTGAGGCCGCCGCATTCCACGCATGCCAAAGATCTACATCACTAGCACGACGGTCCCAGACCCAACAGCAGTAACGAAAAACAAGAGGCACAGTGGCATCGACTAGTGGGTCATAGTTCTCGTCACGGTGCGTACTGAGAAACGCCGTGACGTGCATGCGGCCTCTAGCTCCTGCAAGCTCGGCCGCCACTGCACGCAGGCTTCTGAGAACCTGATCCGAGACCCCAGAGACCGCCGCACCGTGGGCCCCACAGGGCATGAGCCCAGTCCGCCAGAGCATGGCCACCTTAGGCCCCGCGGCTTTTTTCAGGACCCGAAGTTTGGCCCTACGCCCCTGGAGCTTGGCGACTCTGGCTTTTTCCACTTTGCGAATTACACGCCTACCGTACAAGTCATGGCCCAAGTTGCGAAGATGCGCCTTGCTGTGAAACCCTATCATGCGAGCCGACAAACGAACCTCTTTTTCTGCCGCTGTCGTGCTCGCGAGGAACCCAGACTTGTTTGGCTGAAGAAGGAGACCAATCGGGGCTAGGAGGTGGCACAGCTCCCGCGTAGCAGCAAAGACTAACTCTCCTCCTTTGGCGGTCTCACCACACCATTGAAGGGATATATCATCCATGAGGGCCCTCGGCTTAATAGACGGATACCTAGCGACAATCTTTTTGACAGGGTCCAGCAGCACTGCAAGCATGTTGGCACAGGCGTGCGCACAGCCTGCCAAAATGCCTTGAAAAGAAACGTAACTCTCGCTCAAACTCCCGTATGCGTCAATCCTACGGGGTGCCACATAGCTTTGAATCAGCATCCAACCTAATCGAAGGGGGAATCCCACCCTCCGATACACGTCAAAGAGAGCCGAAAGCTTGATCATTTCATAGCACTTGGCCATGTCTAGGAGCACGCTGATCCAGTGCAGGCCCTTTGCTTTGGCAACTTCGGCGGAAAGGTTCAAATCGAAGGCAGAATCGCTCGCACTCCTCCCCTTCCCGCTACCCCAAAACTCCTCCGTCCTATTGGCACGCTCCCAGGCCTCGCTGATAGGCCTGCGGGCTCGCGCCCACACTCTGATGAAAGAGTCTAGGAGCGCAATTAAACGATGCCCCCCGTCTGGCTTGGCAAGCCGGAAGAGCCTGCTCACAATTCTGTCTTTTGGCCAGCAGAGACGACGCTCGCATTGATGCAGCAGAGATGCAAAGGCCTCAAGGGCCTGGTCTGAAAGGTGCTGAAGCGAGCGAGGATGTATTTTACAACACCCCACGGCCGTGGTCACAGGGAACTTCAAAATGACAGCTCTCAAGTCAGCCACCGAAAGTTCAGGGAGCTCTTCCCAAGACTCGGCGTCCCCAGGGATCTCAGGTCTGGTGCACCCGTGAGTGGCCCAAATAAGCCCCCAGTCCGAAACCACCTCATCCGAAAGCTCAAAGGGCTGGGCTCTCTGGGTGGCTCCAATGACCTCCTGGACAGCACGAGCTCTAGCGTACCTGTGGGCCTGGCGGGCTCCTCCTGAGAAACTTTCTCGCACCCATCGTTGCCAGTCCTCTGACTTGCTGGCGAGGTGGGCCGACTCCTGGAGCGACGCTCGCTCCAGGATGCGGTCACATAAATCCTGAAAGAAAGGGTCGGCTAGGGCCGACAGCCCAGCCTTAAAAAGGGCACTACTGTGGTGGTCCAGCTCCTTGTGCACCCACTCCACCTTGGCGATACGGTCGCAGAACCTGTCGGCATCCACCAGCACCTTGGCTATACGTCGGAAACGCCTTGCCTGGTCGCCGTCATCCACCTCTAGCCTCGGCGCGAACGTGTGCAGGGCCTGGCTGACCGATCGCAGGTGGCGGGCCCACCTGGCCGCCGTGGCCCACGCAGCCTGCACAGGCTGCAGCTGGACCGCACGCTTCTTCGGCACGAAACTGAGCTCCTTCCAGATCACCTCGTGCTTGCCAGC